TTTAACATTCATAATCAGTTTCCAGGGCCGTCCCCATACCCCGTCCGGTATGGGCGCCAAAACCATGAACCTCAATACCCCGTCCGGTATGAGGGTGAAACGGGCCGTCCCCATACCCCGTCCGGTATGGGCGCCAAAACCATAAGATCTCCATACCCCGTCCGGCATGTGAGACCACAATCCCGGTAGGGTTCCCTACGGACCTGGTCCGTCCACCATCTCCCAGGATATCTAGTCAGGCTGACCCCCATAATACAATTATCAGTCTACACAATCTTTCATTTTCCTTTTCCTCAATCAGCATCATCAATTCACATTTAAACAAGCAAATCGTAATTCATACCAAACAGACAACATACAGTATCAGTTTTTTCAGTCATTCAACCCATAATTAATAAAAACGTAGTACATGCACACAAATCTGTAAAATGAACACATCAAACCTCATTTTGCATTTAAAGCTGTAAAACAGGCCAAATAACAGTAAATCATAAATCACACTAGACTTGGGCTCCATTAGCAACCTTAAGCAATTTCACACATGCGTTAATTCAAGAAATACCGTTTTATCATTTTGAACTTTAATACCGTGATAGGAAATAAGGTGAGGGGTCCTTACTTGTTTTCGAGATCCGAATACGATTCACAGTGCGCCTGCAGGCCGTCCCTAATTTTCCTTGAATTTTTCCCGGGAAACTGAAACACACTAAGAGTACCTGCACGTGTTCCAGAAAAAATCCAAATTAGGCCCAAGGCCTCTTTCGGCCCAAATCGCAACTCCGGCACGGCGGCTCCGCCGTGCTCCGGCGACGGCGCCGCCGCTGGCGGCGGCGAGTCGCCTCGGGTTGGCTGTTTTCGGCCGTTTTTGGCCGAATTCGGCCACACTCGCATTGGTTTCTGTGAATAAACCAACCTACGGCCCTCGGGGGGCCAGAAAACTATGGAAAACCGAAGCTTACCGGCGGTGGTGCTCTCGGGTGCGGCGGCTCTCCGGCGAGGTTCGTGTTTTGGTGATTCGGCTCCGGTCAACCTGTAGAGAAAAGAATGGTGATCACGGTGATATAAAAATTGCATCGAACGGAGGCCGGGAAGGGCCTCGTCGGAGGCAAAAACCGAGAGGGGGCGCGACGGCGCCGCTGGGCTTCGGCCGCGTATTCCGGCCGTTTGGCCGGGATTTCGGCCTCGATTTGGCCATAGGAGGAATCAACGGGGAAAAACGAGTCGGGGGTATGAAATTTACCTCGATCGGCGGTCGGAAATTTCCCCGGTGCGGCGGCGAGTGGCGGCGGGTGGCGGCGGTCGGCCTCTGGTTCGTCTTCTCCGGCGAGCGGCTGGCGGCTAGGGTTTGTGGTCTGGTGTGGGGGTTCTATTTATAACCCCTTGCCTTTTGATCACAGCCGTTCATTTCGTTTTAATCTGGGCCGTTCGTTTTTGATTGAATCTGGGCCGTCCGTGTATTTGAATCTGGGCCGTCCGATCGCGCGATTGATCTGGGCCGTCGGATCGCACCCACGCGGATCGCCAACGTGGCTCCTTTCGGAGTGACGCGATCTTGCCACGTGGCAGGCCCTGGTTGGCCGGGACTGCTGACCGGGCCTGCTGACGTGGCCCCCTTTTTTTTTTTTTTTTTTTTTCCTCCTTTCCGGGTGCTACATGAAGTGATCGAACCCATCTCATAACAAGTGGAATAATGCCACTAGAAAACATTTGATGAAGTAATAAAAGACTTGGTTTGTCACCATGGGATCCTCTCCTAGCATGATGGGTCTATCTTTACATATTGTACATCATGATCATTGTAGACTTGAGATATATTGATTACACTTTTTTAGGGACAAAAGGGGCTATTTTGATATTTTTTTTTTATTTTATATATTTATTATTATAATTTTAGAAAGATTAAATTATTGTGGATGTAGCCAACTAATTAGGAAATTGATTAAAGAATGTTCAGAGAAAAAAATTTGTAAAAAGGAATCAGAGTTTCATTGTTCGTTATTTAAATTTGAGAGGCTATAATCTGGCATGGAATATTCTATTAATATTTGCTTGTACTTTTACCCATGGATAATTAATATGACATTTATTAATATAAGGTTGAATTAATTAAAAAGAACACTACTCGTTTTATCCAAACACAACAATAAAATTGATTCACATTTCTGTAATTTTTTACTTTTTCATTTTTTTATTGTTTTGTTCCATCTATTTTAAAAAAGCATTACACCAGAACGAATTGATTACCTGATCGTATATCGAGAAATAATTATCTACCACATTTAAATTATTGAACTTTTTAAAGCTGAACTGACTTAGAAAAATTGGAAAAAGGCTGGTTTGCATCAAGTGACGGACAGATTTTTTCAGCACAGGAAGCTGCGGCAGCGTATTTTGGTTGGGTCGATAGCGGGTACAGTGGAATCTCCGCCATGGCAAGCGTTTGTCGGCAGACTTTAGGATAGAAAGAAAAAGAAAGCCTGGAGCAAAATGAACCGGTTTTATTTTTATTATTTAATCTTTTATTTGAAAAAGCAAGGTAAACCGGGTCAAATGAAGCAAATTGACATGTATTAAAAAGTGTCATTTTTAATTTCATTCATAACTAAAAATGGAGATTTATATATTACAACTGTTTTTTTTAGCGGATATAGTTATTAATAATTAATTTACCTGGTAAAATAAATGAATATATATATATATATATATGATACATGTAAGAAAACAGCAATAAGTAATAAATAACTGTAATAATCTTATTTTAGTGAATTTATTTAAAAATATATGTATTACATATGATATATTAATTAAATATATATTATTACACAATAAACCAATAAAATTTTATTGAATTAACAAAATCATACACGTTAATTAAAAATTCATCTTGGTGATAAGAGTAAAATGATGTTTAAAGTAAAATGTCATAGATATTTTAACTAATAAAATTTTAATTTTTATTTCATGAAATTATTCTGAAGCATTTTAATAATTGGAATTATTTTATGATTTTTTTTTTGGAACTATATTATTACACATAAAACTATATCATAATTTTTATAATTCTAATTCTAAGATAAATTTGTTATTTTTTATTTACGACTTGTGATAGTAAATTAGAATATCAAAATTATCATGATTTAAATTTAAATATCTGAAATAACAATCAGTATTTTTCATATAATCTTTTTAAATTTCTGGTAGACTTTTTGGATAACTTGTATTGTTGTGATGATTAGGAATTTGTTAATGCATTAGGGATGTGGGTAGGAGGCCATCAACTAATTATTCCCTTTTGGGTTAGCAAATTAAAATAAATATTTTTATAATTTAGTTGAATTTGGTATCCACGTGTAGTCCCGTACTAAATTTTTTATTTTTTAAAAAAAAATAAAATAAAATAAAATTTTAAATTTACCTTAATTTCAAATTGTCCTTAAAATTAAATATAATTAATCACATTTAAGTCTGATTTTAAATCTATATTAAAATTTAAACATGATGAAATTTATATCTGACATTTATTCTTAAAAAATTAGAAGTTAAAATAAATAATAAATAAAAATATAAAGGGGCTGGCTTGGAGGAGATGGAGTAACTATAGAATAATTAATGATGGGTACTTTGATTGAAAATTCCATGCCAAGTTATTATTATGTCTATATATATAGAGATATGTGAAAGGCTCTGCTTCTGTCACAAACTTGAATGTTTTTTCAAAGTATACTAGTCAAGGGGTTGGACATGGGCATTGCAACTGCTCTTGTGATTCTTCTGGTGGCAGCTCCAGCGGTTCACGCGGTGGATCACATCGTTGGTGACAGCTCCGGATGGTCAACTCTTGGCGACTATGCAACTTGGGCTTCCGGAAAAACATTTAATGCGGGTGATAGTCTTGGTAATTTTAACTTTTTAAATAAACATCTAATTTAATTTTTTCTCTCTATTAAAAAATGATTATTAGTTTTTAATTTTATGAGATATATTAATGAGTTAAATACTAATGTAATTAATTAAATCTTTGGTTATTGAAAAAATAGTGTTCAATTATGATGGGAGCCATAAAGTGGATGTAGTAAGCAAAGATGGGTATGAAAATTGCGACTCAAGTAATGTTTTGGAGTCCCATCAAGGTGGAAGTACTACCATAAAACTAAAAGACGCCGGTCCAATGTACTTCATATGTCCTTCACTCGGCCATTGTAGCGGTGGCATGAAGCTTGCTATCACTGTTGCAGCTATTGTTACTAACACTCCACCTGCCTCTTCTTCTGGTGGCACCACCACTCCTTCCACTGTCTCATCACCTAAAACTCCTACCTCGACTTCATCACCACCACAATTATCTTCGCCTAACGATGCAACATTTATAAATTTTTCTAAGACAATTAATTATGTATTTCTTTTATTAGTGACCTTGTTCGTGTACTTGAATTAAAAAACAAACGTTGTCGAATGTAATTTTTATTTGATTGTTTAATTATTTGTGCGATTTTTTGCTCGTAATTTGGCAGAAATCGTAAATCACTATTATTTTTCTCCTTGTTTGATTGTATTATTTGTGAATTTTCCCAAATGCAATTGCAATATATCTTTTTTCTTTGGGTGGCGGGGAAGCATCAATTGTATTTTTCAATCTTATTTTTTTCCCTTTTTGGTAAATTGCTCCTTTATTCTTCCTTAATGAAAGAAACACTCACCTTTAGGCATTTACTTAGCCAAGCTCATAATTAAATACGTTTTGATTTCTAATTTTTATCTTACTTTCAACTTTGGTCAATAACTAAAATATTAAGCTCTAACTTTTATTATTATTTATTTTTGAAACCAAGTTATTTAGTTTCTCATCTCATTATATTAATGCATGACATGATGATAGCTAAAAGAAACTTTGACTCAGTTAAATTCAATTTCAATTTCTGTTTTTCCAAGTTGTTTGAACTTTAAGTGGGATTGAGATGAAATTAGTAGTTAATGCAATATAAATATGAGGTAGTCTCAAGTTTAGGATTAAAAAAGATCGTTTAAATCTTACCTACCTATATATTAATATTTCTTAATTTTTTATTAAAATATAAATGTATGTATAATTATTAATATTATAATTAAGCTATTTTGTTAAACCATTAAATTTGTTGTTGACATAATTAATTAACTATTATTTATTGTTAAAATATCTATAGGTGATTTTGATGATATATAATATTTAATTTATACTAAAAAATATTTTATGAGTTCTTCCAAAGTAATATGAATGCCAATAATCAAGAAAGAACACACTTTGATTGAAGAACTTCAAAGAAAATGAAAAATAAAGAAGTACAAGAGAAGACTAATATTTGATAACAACACTGCTTTCAACTTTTCTAAAAAACAATTCAAATCTACGGCTCGAGAAATTTTTGTTCAATTGTTTTTGAAACAATCTTCATAATGAAATTTGAAGTTTCGAGAAAAAATCATCAAAAATATTTTGGAAAAACTTTAAAATTAATTTATGAGAATTTCATTTTAGGAAATTTGATCATACAAATAAAGTATAATGTATTAACACTTTGAAACACATCTGACTATGAAATATTAATAAATACTAGAAACCATCATATTCAAGAACATTAAATCCTTTCATCTACCTCATACTTGTGTCTAATAAGATATTTTCTCCTAAATGTCTCTAAATTTCTTTTTCTATTTCATTTATGATAACTTTTGAGATTTAAAGGTTTAAATTTAAAAAAAAAAAAAAAAAAAACTTCTTAGCCTCTTTTTGAGCACTAAATTTAAAATTTTTAAACTTCAACTTGTATACTTATACTTTTAAGAAATGATAGTTTAGCTTCTAACTTTTTACTTGTTTTATTTTGGTATTATAAAAAAAGAGTGAGAACTCATTAGTGAGAAGCGTTTGAGGAAACACTTGTAAAAATAAGATTAACACCGAGAAATACAAGTAATGAAACGATGAGATTAACATTGGGAACAAGTATTATATAGGTGAGCTTGACATCAGTATTAACAAGCATTGTAAATGGTGTAGCATATCTCATTGGGAAAATAAGTAGTTGTAATCGATTAATTATTATGGAATTCTCAAGTTGGAGACTTGAGGAAAAGATGTTGCACCTATTAGGGCAAATCTCCAATAAATCATGTTTGCATCTTCTTTCTCTTATTGTTATTTAATTTCCTTGCATTTATTGTTCTTGAGTTGTATTAATTAAGCTTGAGTTGAATTTATTGTACAATATTGCTAATTGAATAGGAATCACCTATTGGTAACTTGAGATTATAGAGTAATTGAGTTAAGCTTAAAAATTAGTAAAAACTTGTGAAAACAAATTCACCTTATATTAGGTTGCACCAGTAATTTGGGATAAAAATTGATATTAAAAGCAAGTATTTAAATTTGTGGCTTAAGTATCTAAAGAAAAGGTCTAAAATGACAATCTCATATGGAGAGGTCAATCTACTAATTGAACCATTTTATTTCATGGAACAAATTATAACTATTAGAAATTTAGATATAAATTCAAGTCATGAATTATGAAGCGTGAAAAATTAATACGAATAGTTTTTCATGTTCCTATAGGAGAATATGAGACTAAGTTGTAGTGAAATTAGAGAATGAATAAAATAAAAATACATTTAACTACATACATTTGTGAATTAGATGTTAATGGATTCAATAGAATTTTTACTAGCAATCAACTAAGGAAATATTGAATAAGTTAAAAGTAAAATCAAGTTATGGAATAAAGTTATGAATTTTTTAAAATAAGCAAAAATGAATCTATTTGAGAAATGTTTACACGATTCACAACATTATCAACATTTTGCAATCACTTGGTTTTTACGAACAATAAACGTATAAGGAAGATTATTAAATATTTGTCAATGTCATGGGATTTAAAGGTGACCATAATTCAAGAGACTAAGGTTCTCAACATGCTTAGCTTAGATGAACTCTTGGGCTCTCTCGTGACTCATGAGTTAAACTCGAAGAGAAGAAAAGATTAAGATTAGAAAAAAAAAAAAAAAATTATAGCATTTTAAGCTTCTACTTATATGAGCACGGATGGTTTAAACCAATACAACAACTATCCAAGCCTTAGAGGCCATGAGTTGAATTATCTAAAGGAAGTTTTAAGATGTCAAACTCATCCAAAAGAAGTTACAAGCGATGAAAAGAAGATCTATGTGGCTAAGAGGAGGATCCATGCGGCAAGCTTTATTCTAATGAAGCTCCATGTGGCAAAGGGTGTCCGAACTACGAGCAAAGTGGATTGGCCTATAAATAAATGTCATAGGAATAGAATAAAGCCGAACAAGACATGGAGATCACAAATGATGGACTTGGACCATTTGGAAGGAGCATCATGATGTCTAGTGGGCCTATTATAAAAAGTAAAGGCCAAGATATGCAAACATGCATTTCAATTTGTTGTCCAAAGGTGGGATAAGTGAGGAAGAAAGACTTGGACCAAGTATGGAAGCCTACAAGGGAAGAAAAATAAACCCATTTGGCCAATAGCAAAGGCGTCCATGCATCCTCATCCCAAATGAGGGAAGTACCAAAGATATGTGGAAAATTGCCAAAATCGTAAGGGATTTTTTTCCCGATGAAAGGCATAGTTCTTTCCTTTTTTTTCCATCCCAAATCAACAATTAAAGTGTCTAATCATATCTTTTTAAAAAATATATATTAAATATATAAAGAAATCATGAACATATTCATAACATCATTCTCTAATTTCACAAGACCATATTAATTAACTAATAATAACAAAAAATAATAAATATAATACTAAAACAAAAAAAATTGTACTTCAATATTTTCTTTTATGCTTTTGGCTCTTAAATAGTTTTATTAATAAATAAATAATAGAATAAATTACCAAATTAGTTTTTAATATTTGAGATTTATCATAACTTAGTTTATAATATTTTTTTATTATAATTTAATCTTTCTAATTGTTTTAAACCTTCAATTTTTTACATTAAAATAACTTGAATTGTTAGTCTAAATATACTTTAAAAAATAACTCAAAATAATAATTATCACTAAGTAATAAAAGTCAATTTTTTATTTTTTTTAAACACTAAATCATAATCTAACAATTTTAAAATTTTTTATTAAAAAATAAAAAAACAAACTTTTAAATTAAATTAAAAAACATCATAAAACAATTTGTAACAACAAAATATATTACACCACAAGTGTAAAACTAAAATGGTAATTTACTCATAAAATATTTAAACATAGACATTTGAGGTTTATTGAATCAAACACAACCTACAATACTAGGATTTTATATAAATATATAATCATAAACATATGAGATATCTTGAATCAAACAACCTAAAATAGTAGGGTGGTTGCATTTTTACTTCTCTTCAAATATTCACCATGTTCAGATTTTGGAGTTGATTTCAGTTGAAGAAAAGAGAGAGTGGGAGAAAAGACAGAAGCTTATGGGAATCTTCCATGAGAGAGAGGGAAGCAAATTGAGGGAACATTAGAGAGCCATTGTAACATGGGTGTTGAGGGATTTGAATTTGGCGAAGCAAAGGAGAAAAGAGAGACGAACAGATTAATAAGTCTTCTATGGAGCTGAACAGATTAATCCTTCCATTACCATTACAAATTTTCATCTCTTATTTGATAGTTTGGCGCTCTTAAGAGTAATTTTGAGATTAATAGGCAAGGAACCCACACATAGCACTCAAAAACATGTTCTGAAACTAATTGCAATAGCATTTTATGTCACTAAAACTTTCAGTAACATGAAGGGAGCAAGAACAAGACAAAAAAGTTCACTGAAACTGATGTAGACATAACATGAAACTACGAGGATAAATAGCCAGACCAGCTGCAGCTAACATATCATTGAAGCCTTTTGCTTTACTCATAGATCCATTGGTGAATACTACTCTGCCAGCTAACAGGGCCTTCAGGAAACCACAGTGCAATTTCCTTCCCGGCACTCTCAACTGAATCACTGCCATGGATGACATTCCTGCAACCCCACAGTAATATTACTACACAGTATGCGGCACATTTTCTTGAAAAAATCTTCTTAAAAAGGTTGGTTTTAACCTACAAAAAAGAGCAGAGAGTAGATACTTTGAAAAAGGAAAATGGTGAATTACCTGCCAATTTCAATTGCAAAATCGCCTCGAATGGTTCCAGGGGCAGAATCTGCAGGGTTTGTGGCTCCGATAATCTTTCGGCCAGTTACAACGACATTCTTACCCTCCCAAACCATGGCAACAACAGGGCCAGAAATAATGTAATCAACAAGTCCGCTAAAGAAAGGCTTTGCAGACAGATCCTCATAATGCTTCTCGGCAAAAGAGCGTTCCACAGTCACTAGCTTCAAACCTAATATCACATACAGCCAAAGGAACAATTTAACAACCCATAAACTAGATACAAAATTTCAGGTACTTGCACTTAATTTAGTTTAAATTCTAATTCCATAGAATGTGATCGGCATACAATACAAATCATAGAAATCTTAGTAAAAATAACCATATATTTCTAAGTCACTTCCATATTCGAATCAAACTAAGTGTTTCTTGGTTGAAAGATGAGTATGCAAAAATGATACGAGTGTGAAATTAAAAATATGAGAGTTGATTTTATTATGCATCAAATATCATAATTATGACCAATTTCTAGTATAAAATAAATTTGAATCTAGAATTGAATGAGAATAGAATAGGTTTGACCGAAGAGGTAATTGCATTTCCAAAATTCACTAGGGCACTATCAGATTAAAGCAGAAAATGTTTGGTGAGGTTAATATTCAGATTAAACAAGAATTGAAAGTAATCATTCAAACAAACGTTACAGTCGTTGCTCAAACAATGCAGAATTTTGGAACTTAAAACACCAATCTGGACACAACAGTTGCAAGTCAGACTACTTTACCGTTCAAAGAAAAACCCTTCTTCTCAAATCTGCCAATGATCTCGCCAACCTGAAACCCATGCAGTTAAATTTTTGAAAATTTTGAATCCCACAAAATTCCCATGGCAACATAAACTAGCAATTGTCCATGAAACTTGTTGAAACAGATTTTATAAAGAAAAAACTTTTTCAGCGTCTAATTTTCTTTATGAGAGGCGCCTAAGCATTACCAAAAAACAGTGAGGAAAAGGAAAGAGAAAACTACGTTTTTAGTTATCAAAACATATGGCCATCTAAATAAAGTAGAAAAAATTCAAAAAAATAAAAGTTCAAAAAGTTGCATATAAAGCCGAATTCAGTTAATCTTCCACACAGTGAAAATACCCCATCCTATTTATCATCACAGCGATTCTCAATAAGTTCAATAGATCTAAGAAACACATCGAACTTCCTCAGAGAATATAAAATAAACTCAACTCGATTATCTTCTCTGATGATACAAATTTAAAAACAAAACCTATTCTCGATAACCAACAGTGTTAACAGAGAGAAGAGTGAAAGATTACCAGGCCTCTCTGGACTCCATCGGGCTTGATCATGATGAAAGTCTGCTCCATCTTGTAGGTTTACTGAGAGCGTGGCTGGCTACTAGAAATGAGTTAGTGGGTTAGGGAGGAGGAGGAGGGTTTTTATAGGCGGAGGAGACGGAAACCTAACCCTAATTGCAAGAGAATATTCGGAGTTGGGGAGGGGAGGGAGGAACACGTGTGGTTGAGCAGCAGCCAAGTGGGCCTGTGATTGGTGATTTGTGTGAATACAGACAGGTGGTATGAAGGCATTTTCCTTTAACACATCATTCTAACTTTATATCGAAAGAAAGAAAGAAAATTCATAATTTAAGATCTTAACTAAAATATATGGTAAATTAAATACTAAAACCTATAAAATAATTCATAAATTGTAAAAAAAAATGACATGTTTTTTTGCTAACAAGTCAACAATGTTGAGAAAATTAACTTATTACGTTATAAAAAATTAATAAATTAACATTTAAATTTTAGTACAAATGATGACTCAAAAAAACTAAGATTATGTGCGGTTGCAATCTTTTATTAAAGATATTAAATTTAGAAAATATTTTATTAGCTAAATAGGAAAAATTAAAAAGATTTTTTTGTCAAAATCAAAGTTAAAATATGATTTTGATATGTTTAATTACATAAGTTAAAAATATATTATTTAAAAAAATAATTTATGCTCTCAATATTTTCTTTCCAATATTAAGTTTAAGTAAATTAACTCTTATAATTGTTATTATCTTAATTTAATTAATTCATAATTCAACATTACAATTATGTCAAGTAATTCATCATAAGTGGATCAATTATTGGGCTTTACCTCATCTATGATCATCATCAATAGCCAATGTGATAAAGGTTCTTTATAGTTACTTCTTATTCACGTTAAATATTATTTGTTTCACTATTACTTTAAATGGCAATTTAGTTTTCTTCCTGAATATTTTTGGGGGTCT